ATAATAAAGGCCATATATGAGAAACCTACAGCCAACATCATTCTCAATGGTGAAAAACTGAAACCATTTCCAGTAAGATCAGGAACAAGACAAGGTTGCCCACTCTCACCACTGTTATGCAAAATAGATTTGGAAGTTTTAAGCACAGCAATCACAGAAGAAAAGAAATAGTAGTAATCCAAATTGGAAAAGAAGAAGTAAAACTGTCACTGTTTGCAGATGACATGATACTCTACATAGAGGATCCTAAAGATGCTACCAGAATACTAGAGCTAATCAATGAATTTGGTAAAGTGGCAGGATACAAAATTAATGCACAAAAATCTCTCATATTCCTATACACCAATGATGAAAAATCTGAAAAAGAAACTAAGGAAACACTCCCATTAACCAGTGCAACAAAAAGAATAAAATACCTAGGAATAAATCTACATAAGGAGACAAAAGACCTGTATGCAGAAAACTATAAGACACTGATGAAAGAAATTAAAGATGATACAAACAGATGGAGAGGTATACCATGTTCTTGGATTGGAAGAATCAACATTGTGAAAATGACTCTACTACCCAAAGCAATTTACACATTCAATGCAATCCCTATCAATCTAGCAATGTCATTTTTCACAGAACTAGAACAAAAAATTTCACAATTTGTATGGAAACACAAAAGACCCCGAATAGCCAAAGCAATCTTGAGAAAGGAAAATGGAGCTGGAGGAATCAGGCTTCCTGACTTCAGACTATACTACAAAGCTACAGTAATCAAGACAGCATTGTACTGGCACAAAAACAGAAATATAGATCAATGGAACAGGATAGAAAGCCCAGAGAAAAACCCACGCACATATGGTCACCTTATCTTTGATAAAGGAGTCAAGAATATACAATGGAGAAAAGACAGCCTCTTCAATAAGTGGTGCTGGGAAAATTCGACAGCTACATGTAAAAGAATGAAATTAGAACTCCTTAACACCATACACGAAAATAAACCCAAAATGGATTAAAGACCTAAATGTAAGGCCAGAAACTATCAAACGCTTAGAGGAAAACAGGCAAAACACTCTATGACATAAATCACAGCAAGATCCTTTCTGACCCACCTCCTAGAAGAGTGGAAGTAAAAATAAAAGTAAACAAATAGGACCTAATGAAACTTAAAAGCTTTTGCACAGCAAAGGAAACCATAAACAAGACGAAAGACAACCCTCAGAATAAGAGAAAATATTTGCGAACGGAGCCACTGACAAAGGATTAATCTCCAAAATATACAAGCAGCTCATGCAGCTCAATATCAAATAAACAAACAACCCCATCCAAAAGTGGGCAGAAGACTTAAATAGACATTTCTCCAAAGAAGATATAGATTGCCAACAAACACATGAAAGGATGCTCAACATTACTAATCATTAGAGATATGCAAATCAAAACTACAATGAGGTATCACCTCACACTGGTCAGAATGGCCATCATCAAAAAATCTACAAACAATAAACGCTGGAGAGGGTGTGGAGAAAACAGAGACCTCTTGCACTGTTGGTGGGGATGTAAATTGATATAGCCACTATGGAGAACAGTATGGAGGTTCTTTAAAAAACTAAAAATAGGGCTTTCCCTGGTGGCACAGTGGTTAAGAATCCACCTGCAATTCAGGAGACACGGGTTCGAGACCTGGTCTGGGAAGATCCCACATGCCGCGGAGCAACTAAGCCCATGTGCCACAACTAATGAGCCTGCAATGTAGAGCCCGTGACCCACAACTACTGAGCCCGTGTGCCACAACTAATGAAGCCTGCGTGCCACAGAGTCTGTGCTCTGCAACAAGAGAAACCACTGCAATGAGACACCTGAGCACTGCAATGAAGAGTAGCCCCCTCTCACTGCAACTAGAGAAAGCCCACATGCAGCAACAAACAGCCAACACAGCCAAAAATAAATAAAATTAATTTAAAAATACAAAGTATAACTACCATATGAACCAGCAATCCCACTACTGGGAATATACCCTGAGCAAACCATACGTCAAAAAGAGTCATGTACCACTATGTTCATTGCAGCACTATTTACAATAGCCAGGACATGGAAGCAACCTAAGTGCCCATCAACAGACGAATGGATAAACAAGATGTGGCACATATATACAACGGAATATTACTCAGCCATAAAAAGAATCGAAATTGAGTTATTTGTAGTGAGGTTGATGGACCTAGAGACTGTCATACAGAGTGAAGTAAGTCAGAAAGAGAAAAACAAATACCGTATGCTAATACATATATATGGAATCTAAAAAAAAAAAAAAAAAACAATGGTTCTGAAGAACCTAGGGGCAGGACAGGAATAAAGACGCAGACATACAGAATGGACTTCAGGACCCAACGAGGGGGAAGGGTAAGCTGGGACGAAGTGAGAGAGTGGCATGGACATATATACACTACCAAATGTAAAATAGGTAGCTAGTGGGAAGCAGCCGCATAGCACAGGGAGATCAGCTCAGTGCTTGTGACCACCTAGAGGGGTGAGATAGGGATGGTGGGAGGGATACGCAAGAGGGAGGAGATATGGGGATATATGTATATATATAGCTGATTCACTCTGTCATACAGCAGAAACTAACACACCATTTTAAAGCAATTATACTCCAATAAAGATGTTAAAAATAAATAAATTTTTTAAAAGGGATGAACTATTGATAGACACAAGAAACTGAATGAACTTCAATGAAATTATGCTGAGTGAAGAAAACCAATGTCATAAAAGATACAGGGCTTCCCTGGTGGCACAGTGGTTGAGAGTCCGCCTGCTGATGCAGGGGACACGGGTTCATGCCCCGGTCCGGGAGGATCTCACATGCTGCAGAGTGGCTCGGCCCGTGAGCCACGGCCGCTGAGCCTGCGCATCCAGAGCCTGTGCTCCGCAACGGGAGAAGCCACAACAGTGAGAGGCCCGCGTACCGCAAAAAAAAAAGAAAAAAAAGATACAAAATGCATAATTCCATTTATGTAACAATTTGTAAAATAACATAAGTATAAACATGGAGAAACCGAACAGTGGTGGCCAGAGGCTAGGGATGGGGGTGGAGGGAATGGGAGAGGAATGGCTATAAAGGGGTCAGACAAGGGAGTCTTGTGGTGATGATTCAATTGAGTTTCTTGATTGCTGTGTGGGTTATGCAAGGCTACACATGTGATAAAACTGTATAGATCTATAAACACACACACACAAGTGGTACATGTATAACTCGTGAAATCTTAATAAGGTCTATGAATTGTGCCAATATCAGGATTTTGCTATTGAACTATAGTTGTATAAGATGTTAACACTGAGGGTGAGGCTGAGGGAAGGGTAAGCGGGACTTCCTTGTACATTTGTTTGCAACTTCCTATGAACCTACAACTATTTCAAAATATAAAGAAAAATATATAATTTTAAATATGTCTTTTGTATTTTGTTCTAAGTTCAAATGTGTCAGTAATCAACGTAAAAAATAAATGATTCTTATTTATTAGATGAAGATTATCAATTTAGATTTTTAAAAGGCAGTATCCAGTTATTATTTGCTTAAAATACAACTAAAACAAAAATCACAAATAAGGGTGAAAATGAAGGAGAGAAAAAAAACAATGTACCATGCAAATGCTAAGTAAAAGAAACCACACCTGCCCCAGAAGCCAGAATAATCCTTTTCAAAAATGTGTACGCGTTCAGAATTCTCTAATGGACTCTCATCCGCTCAGAGTAGACAACCTTCTAATCTCTACATGATGTGGCTTCCCATTACCTCTCAGACCTTTTCTCTTTCACCCTCTCTCTTGTTCACTCTACCTATATTAGCAGTGCTGGATTTCTTTCTGTTCCTTCAACACATCCAGGCAAGCTCCCACCTCAGAGCTTTCACACTTCAGTTCACTCTGTCTGGAGCCCTCTTCCCCCATGTGTCCATATTGCTCAGTCTCTCATTTCTTATATTTGTCCCAATATCATCTTCCATAACAAATCTATTCATTGCAACTACTGCCATCACCACACATCATTCTTTATCCTCCTCCCTGTTATTTTTCTCCATAGTTACTTATAACAATCTGACATTCTATATATTACTTATTTTGTGCATTGTCTATCTACCCTGCTGTCATATAAACGCCATAAGAGAAGGGAGTTTTGGTAATTTGCTTCATTGCCATATCCCTAGTATGTTTAAAATTTTTTTTTAATTTCACAAACATAAATATAACCTCAAGTTTGTATACACAGAGTAGTTTTATGCAATTCTTTGATTTAATCCTCACAATGATTCTATGGATTTTGAAATCTCATTTCCATTTTATTTGGAAACTGAAAATAAAATAGGTTTCATAATTTGTCCAAGAACAAGGAAAAAACAAACAGGACAATCTAGACTTTAACCCATGATCTCCAGAGCTCTTTTCATTCTTTCAGAGCTAAAACACCACAGCTGATGTTTAGCATCATAAAGCATGAATCACCAAGCAGATTCTGGGATTTAAAATATTCAGTATGATGTCATCCAATAAACCTAATGCAAAGAAATGTATCAGATTCAGACCTGTTAGTGCCTTGATGTGCCCTTAAAACTCCACTCCGCAAAGCCTGCCATGTATAAAGGATGGATTCACCTCTCCCCCAATACAGTCTTCCACTTTCAGGGTCAACTCTGGGAGGACAGCACGGCTATCCCACTGACATATACAATTCAGAGTTTGTTAAAGACTGTGGGAGAAGCGTGATGTCCACCATCTGCCTCATTCCGTCAAATTGTGTTTTTTCAGTCAGCTGAGGCTTTTTGTTTTATCATTTTATATGCTATCAGCTCAGCTTTAGAATCTCATAAAATTGTGCAAACATGCAAACTAAAGCATCTGAATAAAATACACCAATTGTACACACATATACCCCAACACATAAAGGAAGGACTTCCGGTCAAATGATCATTTTACTGTCTTGCAGTACATTTCAAACAAAAACAAAATTTTAACACTATTTACCTCAAGTATTTTATCTCCAGTTTTAAGAGCATTTGTTTTTCCTGCTGGACTGTCTTCCAAAACTTGTTTGATAAATATACCCTTAAGCTCCTCTCCATTCTTCAGGCGTTTTATAACAGTTTGTCCACCAACAATACTAATACCAAGAGATACATCTGGTTCTCTAAAAATCTCAACACTGTAAAATCAAAAAAACAAAATTCACTCATGAACAAGGTAATCTGTTGTACTGTCACTGTGTTTTATGTGTACCATATCCTTGTGACTCATATTCTATATAAATATATTTTCACAAATGTTATAGAACTTATACCTAGCTCCAAAATTATAAGGTTCTATCAATAATTCATGGCATATGTGAAAGTGTAAATTCTGAAAAAGATTTCCAAAACAACAAATACAGCTCTTAATATTGAGAGATTTAGCAAGGACTTAATGTTCTCATCTCCCACCACCATATATTTTCTGTGATGAGTCCCTTTCATCTATATCATAACATTAGCAAAGAATGAATTAAGAAAATAACTAATGGGTGGAAAAAAAAATCAAGAAAGTCACATGTATCATTTTGGCAAAAAGCAGAAACGTTCAGAAGAAAATAAACTTGCCACTGACAGGCTCACTGCCCATACTGCTTTTCCCAGTCACCCGTTTTAACCTGTGGTTCTCTACGTGCAGGACAGATTTAATAGTTCCAAAGCCTGGAAAGGTTTTCTCTTCTTCCTACATCCACATCATTTTCATAAAGTATAGAATAAAACTTGCCCCTCAAAATATTATGAATTTTGTTCAAACTGCACAGACATGGCCAATAATTAATTCCAAAAAGTAACTCAGAAAAGAGCTCCTAAGAGTTTTTAAGACAAAACTCAAAAGTGCAAGAAAAGAACAATTTGGGTGGCATGGTGAAATTAATAATGCATGAAGATAGAGACAGCAGCTAAAGGAAGACTTTTATAACCTTAATAAAGTGCAGCCCTGGTGACTACCTAAAACCATGAGAGTATCCAAGGGAGCATGGGCCCAACACACTCTGTTAGTGCAAACGAGGCATAAACTTGGACTAACACAAGAGGGGGAGGTTGCTATGTGACTGAAGCCTTAACTATTGTTGTTGTTTGAAAAAAAGAGCTTCTTTACTGCATTCAAGGCAGGCACTGGGCACTATGCCCAGCTTTAAAAAAATAAAAAAATAAATTTCCTGGACTTCCCTTCAGCTAATGATAACTGTGTGCCATAGCTCTGCTTTGCTTAGTGATACAGTGAGAAAGTATACTTAGTCCATCACAGATGGACATTTGTAAGTTGCTTTCTCTGAAAGAGTACGACAAAGATGTTCCTAATATTGGTTTCGGTCATCTTGCCTGGCTAAAAATCTCTAGATAAGACAAAATGAAATTAAAATTTAGGCCAGCGTACGTGTGAACTATGGCAATCATTAGAGAATGACTGAATGACACTATGAAGTTAAAGAAAAGAGCAACTAATTGCACTGTCCTATTGAGAAAGCCAATAACGTCATCAACATACATTCTTGGTGGTCCCCAGTGGCTGAAGTTTGGAGTTTCTTCTCCTTCACCTTCTTCTCTCTCAGGCAATTCACTGAGGAGAAAGAAAGGAAAAAACACACACACATATAACTTACAACACACTTCTTATTATTAAAGGTTCTTGAAAAGTTTTACATTACACAATCTATATGTAGTTAAATTGTTCTTAATTTCTAAGCTTTAAAAATATTTACATCAGGGCTTCCCTGGTGGCGCAGTGGTTGGGAGTCCGCCTGCCGATGCAGGGGACACGGGTTCGTGCCCCGGTCCGGGAAATTGAAATCGGGCTTCCCTGGTGGCACAGTGGTTGAGAGTCCACCTGCTGATGCAGGGGACACGGGTTTGTGCCCTGGTCTGGAAAGATCCCACATGCCGCAGAGCGGCTAGGCCCGTGAGCCATGGCCGCTGAGCCTGCGCGTCCGGAGCCTTGTGCTCCGCAACGGGAGAGGCCACAGCAGGGAGAGGCCCGCGTACCGCAAAAAAAAAAAAAAGAATTTACATCAATAGTTAACTATCCATACAAAGATATACTGCTTTAGCATTCAACTTAACAAATATCCACCCAGCACCAGAAAATCATTGATTATAAACACTTTTATTGATGACACTCTAGATGTTATTTTCTAAAAATCTGTGTTTGAATTTGTATGATTTCACATTTGTTTCTATAACAGCATTTAAATATTATAAAATATATTTCTTAAAATTTGGTGTGGTTGACCAGCTAACAGTCTAGTATAAACTTACACAAACTGCTGAAATGATTAAACAGTCAGTAAACATGATCGTTCTTTCTAGATTTTTCTGTCTAACCCTAAATAATTTCCCTGTCATTTGTATTCCATAAATATTTTGTGTAGTTACACAGCACTTTTCAGTTTACAGAGAGATTTCTTAAACAATGTGATTCTCCCACCTACCACCACCATACTTTCACCCATCAAGTTATGTTAATATGGAACCGCCTAGCGGGATACTGTAAAATGCTGAATTACAGAGTAGTTATAAAAGTAATGTTATCTAATAGGGTAGAGACACTACCATCTATTATCTGGAAGAGGAGTCAGGATTTCTAAGCTCCAGTCTAACCTGTACCACAAAATAGGTGTGTGCCTTTGGACCACCAAATGAAATGACTTATGCGATACTGTCAGTTGTATTACTCTGCACAAAAATGTAGGGACTACCTCTCCCATTTCATTTTCACAAAAACCCTGTGAAGTAAGCACAGCAGGTCATATTACTATATTTTCCCCATGAGGCTCAGAGAAGGCTCAGATGCACTATACAATCTCTCCACAGTATCCAAATCTATCTTTCAGCATGAAGTTTCAATGCTCCATTCTCCTCTGAACTCTCAAATAAGTCCTATAAAAAGTATAAAACTCTAGCTACTTGCCAGTCTACAACTTTCTAGGATATAATGGTTTAAGGCTGTGTGAAAAGGAGAAAATGAAAAAATTTGGACAATCTGAAAATCAGTTAAGGAATTGAGATCATTAGGGATCACTGATATCTCACCCACTGCAGACAGCCTTCTTGCCTTAGCCAGTCTATTTTTTATGATTAAAAGCATCATAGAATTCAAGGAAAAACAACTTGGCAGATATTTGCCAGTTACTTATCTAATGTCTTCTCTCCCCATCTTCCTTACCCAACAACATAACCCCCCTTTATTCCAGGTGGCACTATGCCCAGCTTTAAAAAAATAAATTTTCTGGACTTCCCTTCAGCTAATGATAACTGTGTGCCATAGCTCTGATCAGCAACAAGGAAGCAAAAGTCCCCAGATGAGATTTCCAGGAAAACTCACTAAATGGAGGGAGAATCAGCTGACAGGAGCCTTTTGCTCTATGCTCTTCCCCTTCTTCTTGCCTAGAAGGCAGAGGTGATTATTGGTGGTGAAGCATCCATCTTAAAATCATGAAGAAACCATGAGGACTAAAGCAATACATGGACGACAGCAGAGCAGAAAGAAGAAAATGTCTAAGACCCTGACAGGACTTCTTCAGGACTTTTTTACATGAAAAAAACTAAGCCCTAGTTGAGTTAAGCCACACTAAAAGTGTGTGTGGGGAGATGGGGGCAGGGGATTCTGTTTATAAGCAGCTAAATGCCATCGCTAAATGACACACACATGATTCCACCAATTTAAGTGAAGTCTTCACTTTATCATATCACATTATTATTCTTGGCACGTATGCATATATGTTCATTGGTTAATTGTAATCATAGCATAAACTTTCATATTTTGATTATCTTATAATAGTAACAAGGATTAAATGAGGTATGACTGGCATTTAACTGAGGCTCAACCAATATGTATTTCCTTAACAATTTTTTCACTTGAATTTAAATCAAAATTTTCCCCAAGATTATCATAATCTTCATCATTTCTTATTTAATAGCATCTTAATAGTCCATGGTATTGATGTAATTTGTCTGCTATCCCAAAATATAATGCACTTAGATTATGTCTTGTTTATATGGAACATAGACATTAATGCAAGGAATATCTTCATGCTCTGCTGTATTTTAATATTCTCCTTTAAGTAGATATTAATTGAAGTAAGATTGAAAGCTAAAAACCAAACCAACACTGAAACCTTCCTCCTCTCCATTTTCCACTTTCCTGTACCCTAATTGTGACAGGTGTGATAATATGAAATAAATATTTGGTCCTTGTCCCTGGTTCCTGCCACACAGCTTCTAAAACCCTTCAAGTTTTCCAAACGATAGGGGTGACAGGAGCATTTTTTTTATTCATAACAAGCCCCTCTCAACCGTACCTGAGTTGATGTTAATAAGGTGTCTCTAGGTAGGACTACAGACAGTTTCAGGATGGGGGTTGATTGCCAGAGAAGCAGCTGTGTGATTAGAGTTAGAAGTTTCAGCCCTACCCCCACCTCTGGGAAGGGGAAAGGGGCTAGAGATGGAGCTCAGTCACCAATGGCCAATGATGTAATCAATCATGCCTGCATAATGGAGCCGCCATAAACCACCCCCCACCCCACCACCCCGGCCCCTCCAAACAACAGGGTTGAGACAGCCTGCAGATTGGAGGACACATTAAAGTGCTGGGAGGGTGATGTGACCCAAGAGAGCATGGAAGCTCTTGCATCCCACACACCCCCTTTCCTGGCCTGGCTTATGCATCTCTTCCACTTGGCTATTCCAGAGTTGCACCCTTTGTAATAAACCAGTAATAGTGAAGCACTTTCCTGAGTTCTGTGAGCTATCCTAGCAAATTATCAAACCTTAGGAAGGTGTTATGGGAACCCTCAATTTATAGCCAGCTGGTCAGAAGTAGAGTTGGCAACCTGGAATTTGTGACTGGCATCTGATGTTGGGGCAGTCTTACGGGACTGAGCCCTTCACCTGTGGGGACTGTACTAACTCCAGGTAGTTATGTCAGAATTGAAATGAATTTTAGGGTACACAGTGTCCAGAGAATCAGAGAATTGGTTGTTGGGTGGAGGAAAAAACTCATACATTTGGTGTCAACAGTTTGTGAGCAAAAAGAGTTCATGATAGGTATTAAGAAAAAAAAAGTAAGTATTTTTATTATGGCACATGCATAATATCATTATAAGAATTAAATTCTTAAATTTAAAATTACCTAAAATAGAATGGAAACCAATCTTTAACATTAGTATGGGCTATATGCTTTTCTATTAAAAAAAATTAAAATAAAAAATATCCTAAACTGCTGGCTTTCACATACAATATTAAGCAAAGGGGGAAAAATTTTGTCTAAAATATGGACAATTTTAGTTTTCTTTAAGAAAATGTATGACAAAAGGATTTATTCTGTTAGAAGAGACTTTTTCAAAGCATATTATCCTTTTTTAGGAAATTGATACACACATATTTTGCTTACATTACTTCATACCTAAAGAGGAATAAAACTTTCAAAAACATAGTGTGATTAGTTTTAGAAATACAGTCACAGGAGACAAGCAACTATACAAAATAATGTAGTCACTTTACACTGATAAATGCACATATCTTTCAACCCAAATTAAAATTTAACTGAGAAAGTAAAATACTTTTACTGCACATATTAAGGTGTAAATTTGCACAAATGTACTTGAATCTTTCACAAGAGAATTCTAAACTCTAATTTTATAATTTGCACTTTGATTAGACATGGTCAATAGCTCAATCAGTTAGAATCTCAAATCTTAAAATAACTGAACTTTTGCCTTTTACATTTAACCAGAGTTTTATAACCACTTTTTCCCTAAAGGAATTAACCATCTAATAGAAACAATGCTTTTTATTTTTAGTTCAGTCCTTTATAACAAATGCCCAAAGTTATAATTCATTACAGATTTGGGAGGAAAGATGGAGTGCCCCATTAATGAACAAGTAGATGTTAATAGTAAGACTTCATCATAATATACAATGTCTTTGAGAATAAAATTTTCAACATCATACAAAAATCAGATGAATCTAGATGGCCAAGGTGACCTTTCCTTTTTTTTTTTTCCACAAATGATAATATTTTATTATAGAAAAAGCATCCCAAATAGAGGATTTCATAAACACTGGTAAGTGAACAAGTGCAACTTTAAAAGTAAATACAAAGTAAAGAGGCAAAACCTACAAGCATTTTGCCTTTATGAGAAAATGTACTGTTCTCCTGCAGAGGTGGTCCCACCCAGAGCACGAATGTGGCTCCATCTCCCATAAAGGCATCAGGTTTGCTTTCTGAACTATGCCGAGTTTAACAATTTCAAAATGATGGCAAGAATGTACCTTTTTTTCATGTGAAATTTCTATACACTAAACCATATGAGGGTCAAGCAAACTTGGCACCCCAAAATGATATAAGCAGGAAGGGTTATGGTTGTACCTATCTCAAGATTTCTTTTTCCTCTTAATATATAGATTCTATATGGCAATTTTCTGTGACACACCACAGGGAATGTGAGCATTTGGAACCACTAGTGGTTTAGGCACTAGTGTTTTCCAAACTAGTAGGGCTAGTTATACAAATGTTACACTATGACTTTGAAATTACAAAGCAAATTATTACCTGATACCAGT